TACTTGTCTGTGTTAGCCACATGGCTTAGTGCCTTTTTCGGCAAAGCAGTCACATCTTGCTTGCTCTGTGTCTGGCTTCCTTTGCATCTGGGTGATGACTATTAACTGAAACTTCCCTCTTCCCAGAATTCTCCCTGCCTTGCCTCTACTTCCAGCCTGGTCACCCTACCTATACTTCCTGCCTGGCTAATGGCCAATCAGCATTTATTTAAAATACAAGTGACAGGGTACAGACCATTGTCCCACAGCAAATATGTTTTAATTTCTGCACCTTCACTTGATTTGGTTGTTACTTTATAGTTTGGGGTTATAATACATATTATAATTTCAGCATAGATCCAGACTTCTTTTCAATTTCCTTCCTAAATGTTGAGTTTTATGAAGAACATGTAAAAGAAAAAAAATAGCATTTTTCTACTACCTTTGTGTAAACTGATGTCATAACTGCTCCATGGTATGGGTAAGGGGATGGTTTTTCATCTAGAAGAGTCCAGAAAGGATAAAGTAGTAGACTGATCTTGGCCAGAAGAATGGACCTGGCCATGAGAGAAGCAGGAGAAAAACACAAAGACAGAGAGATAGACACAAAGGGGGAGAGAGAGAGAGAGAGAGAGAGAGAGAGAGAGAGAGAGAGAGAGACAAAGAGAGTGTGGACAACAGACCGAGCAGAGCTAAAATAGCAGGGTTATAAGGAGAAAGTAGCAGCACAGAGGAAATCCCATGAGCTGGAGAAGTTTAGGGTAGGGGAGGAGGTGAAAGGAGCTAAAAGAAGTCAGGTTAATGGCGTGGAGTTTGAAATGCGTAAGGGTACTTGTGATACTGAGGGAGCCTGGAGGCCACAGAGAGTCTTCTGTCAGGCTCCTTCTGGTAGAGTGGGAGCAGCTTCCCAGTTCCTGTGGAGAACTGGCTTTTGTCTAGCCCCCAGGGGTTTCCTTTGGACTGACAGCCTCTAACTAAGCTTTTCTTGACAAAAGAGCATCTGCCACTTTGCAGAGGAATCCCTAAGTGTTCAGCCCAGCTGTACCTGGCTTGTGCCTTGTGGGATTGACTGTGAAAAGAAAGGCTCAGCAAGGCAGAGTGAAGACGTTCTTTTGGAATACTATCTAGTTAAAGTAATCTAAAGAGTTACATTGATCTGTGAGGTTTTTGGATACCAGATTTTAAAGGGTAAGGGCTTTGTTTATTTGATCATGCAAAACTCTTGAGTTCTCTAACATAAAGATTTTTTTAAAGGATTTAAAGGTTTCAGGGAAGACTTTCCAGAAAATCAAGTTTGGTACTTCATTACTCTTCAATCTCAGTTTTATTTTGAATATTTATTTATTGTGTATACAATATTCTGTCTGTGTGTATGCCTGCAGGCCAGAAGAGGGTACCAGACCTCATTACAGATGGTTGTGAGCCACCATGTGGTTGCTGGGAATTGAACTCAGGACCTTTGGAAGAGCAGGCAATGCTCTTAACCTCTGAGCCATCTCTCCAGCCCTCAGTTTTATTTTGAATGGAAACTGTATTTTCCCCGTTTACATTTTAAACACTTGTTCCATCCACACTTCTGTCTTCCACTGACCAATCATTCCTGATTGGACATCACACATATCTAAAGCACTAAGTTTACTAATATTACCATTTAAGACTATGTCCACATCTCTGCTCTATCTTCTCTGCCTCTGCTGTGTTTTCTACTCTGCTACAGGCTGCTTTCTTTCCACAGTATCATTGGGAGTATACACGGTGGAACTTTAAAATCATGAAGAGTGTATGTGTATAAGGTATTTGTCTTAGGGTTTCTACAGCTGCCAAGAGACACCATGACCATGGAAACACTTATAAAGGAAATCACTTAGTTGGGTCTGACTTACAGTTCAGAGGTTTAATACATTGTCATTATGGCAGGAAGCATGGCTGCACAAAGGTAGACATGCTGGAGAAGTAGCTGCCTTGGACTTCTGAAACTCAAAAGTCCCCCCCCCAACACACTTCCTCCAGCAAGACCACACCTTTCCCAACAGGGCCACACCTCCTAATAGTGCCACGCCCTACGAGCCTATGGGGGCTATTTCATGCAAACCACCACCGTATTAAGATACTGTAATTTCTTTGCCTTTGCATTCCTGACAATAGGCAGTTGAGAGACTCACTGTTACTGCGTCCTGTAAACAAAATTAAGATACGGGCAAAGAAATTCTCACAATTGGGAAATTGGGAAGTAATATACTGAAATACATATTGAAATCTCTCCAATCAGTCACCTTCGACTTAACCATCTTGTGAAAAATACTCTACTTGGCAGTAAAGTTTAAAGAAAAACAGTTTCCAATGATAAACTCCAAGTCCTTTTTTTTTTTTTTTTTTTTGGTTGCCATGGAGCTAACCGTACAGGCCATGCCCTGCCTAGAAGCTTTGCCCACACCTACATTGCCCCCTGGGGGCACTAATGACTGAAGAAGCCTACGTCTAGCTCCATCATTGCAGAGTGATGGAGTGACCTGGAGGGACCTGGAGGCCCCAGGTCCCGCTGGCATTTCATAGACAGGAGTATTAATTGTCAGGCTTCTGGTTTTTTCTGTGTTAGCAGCAGCTGGGCCAGGAGAGCCATTGTTTATCTCTCTCGGCTGAGCAGCTAATTAGCATCTGCATGTGCCCCTGACTAGAGAAAGCCCTGATGAGAAGTTGGTGTGACTCGGATTGTTCGGTAATTAATATCAGAGAGGACAGGGCCACGTCCCTGTCACTGCAGCCCTGCACAGCTGGGACTTCTCGACTCTTTTCTCACCACAAGGCTTGCCTTTATAGCTGCCTAACTTTCCAAACACCCACAGTCATGAGCTCAGAACTTCCAACTTCAGTAAAAACACAGAGCAAGTGGAGAAGCCATCAGCTTGGCACCACTTCCCAGTGCCAGCTGAAATTTACCCTCAGACTTGGGATGGCACCTGATCCTTTCATACTTGAGTTGCTGGCAGAGGCTGCCCGTTCGTTCCCTGTCACTTAGACCTGAAACAATCACTCAGAAACCATATTATTTGCAATTCTCTTTGGCCAATAGCTTAAGCGTATTTCTAGTTAGCTCTTATATCTTAAACTAACCAATCTCCATCCATCTGTGCATCACCACAAGGTTATGGCCTACCAGCAGGGGACTCCGGCAAAGGCATCTGTCTCCTATGGTGGCTACATGGATGGCTTCGCTCTGGGCCTGCCTACTCTCTCTATATCTCTTGCAGTCTGGTTTTACTCTGTTACTCCATTGACCGAAAGCAGCTTCTTTATTAACCAATGGCAATAAGACATATCCACAGTATATATCACCTCCCACATCACTGAGTGTCTCCCAGATTCTCTTCCACCAGTGCTTCCCCCTGTGACATGCCTTTCCCCATCACTCCTTCTCATTCGCTTCTCTAAAAGCAATACAGAAGAGACCTTACACAACTTCTTATTGACTACTTTGCTGGTACACACTGTGAAATGACCCTTTGTGAGCCTCACCCCGGTTTACCTCCCTGTTCTCTGGTCACTGAGGATCCTGGCCAGTTCAGATCTGAAGTTAAAGTGTTACTCTTCTCTTCAGACTGGCCTGTCACCTTGAGCTTGGCCAAAAAGGCAAATAAGAAAGATGGGGTGATGAGAAGGACAGTTGAGGGAGACAGGCCTGGCTAGAGAGTCCTCAGAAGTAGGCCTTGGTGTCAGCAATGTATACACCTCTCCCTCCTCCCACGGGCACAGCTCCAGAGGAGACTCTGGCGGTGTTGGTACACAGGCACAGAGTCTTGGTTTGGCCCTACGGTACTGCTCTGCCTGTGAAACCTACCGGATCAGGGGACAGAGATAGAAGGATTCTGACAGCCAAACCTATCCCTGGAGGACAAAGATGTACATCAGCTAGGAGGTGATAATCTGACTAAGGACCTGTCCTTCTGGGATGATTTGAAGGTTGTCTTCTTGCATCCTTCATAGAAAATAAGAGGTCTGTCTCTTAAAAGCCACACCTAAGACGATAAGGGATAAAAATTGCAGCTTTTAGTTGTTCTTTAGAATAGTTTAAAAGATCACTTTTTAAGTCAGTTTGGTAATTGAGTGAAGCCTGAGTGGGTTTCTCCAATAAACTAAAACTTTAAGCCGACTCAGTCACCCTCTTCTTTTCCCCCTCTCTGGTCAGCCCCTTAGTTTTCCATCTCAAGCAGAGCCATTCTGTCCTCCCTTGGGCTGCCCCGCAGATTCTAAGTCTGCTCCAATGCTCTTATTCAGTCATCAAATTCAGAAACAGTTAGGATTACATTTTTTAAAGCTCAACTCAAAAGCATCTCTCTAACAAAGCTGCAGATTGAAGCGCATCCTTACAATTAATTTGCAAAGATCTAACTTTTGAATTGTGTCATGCCGGACTCCTGTATAAAATACATGTTCAACCTTTGGTCTATATCAGTGAGAAAGGACTTTCACCACCTAGTAGACAAAGGTTATGGCCAACGTAGCTTACTCTTTCGTGAAAAAAAAAATGCTACCACCTCTACAAATCCTTATCTAGTTTCAGAGAATCTATGCTTTTGACATTCCAGCCACTTGGTGCTGTTACAATTGTTGGTTCTTGTCACAGTGAGGGGTAACTAACACGTGGGCTTTGTTGGGTACAGGTTGGGAACTGAAGGGAATCCTACAGCTGACAACCTGCTCCACAGATGTTTCAGCAGTATGGCATTGACTCTTGGTTCCTAGACCAATTGACCTCCAGCAGGCTGTTATTTTCATGATCATCCTATAAACACCTGCAGTATATGATTATATCCTCTTAGCCACAAACTAGGTTCAAAACAGTGAGCTCACCCTTAATACCTGGGAAAAGATAGGGGAGAGAAAGTATGTACAACTTTACTGTACCCCAGGATGTCCAGTGCATTAAACAGGATAGTGTGAGACAGCCTGAGTAAGGGACCTAGCCGGTGTGTGTGACCAGCATCCAGATGGAATCACTTCTAAATGGACTTCTTTGTCTCCAGGCAACGTCCGGCTCTTGGAGAATGTCTGGCTTCCCTGGCAGCTGCCATCCCAGTGGCATTCCTGGAGCCCAACCTTAACCGCTATAATCCCCTCTCAGTCTTCAACACCAAGACTCCTAGGGAGCGGTCTAGTAAGTATCTTCTCACAGAGATCGCCAGGGACTAGCCAGGAAGGTGGTGGGGATGGAACAGCAGTCCTGTGGTGTGATGTTTTATACGGTGTGTTATTAGCTATTTTTCTTGCACCAGATAAAACGCCAAAAGGAAAGAAATTTTATTTTGGCTTGTGGGTTTAAGGAATACAGTCAGTCCTTCAAGATAGAGAAGGCAGGAGGAAAAAGCATGAGGCAGCTAGTCATGTTGTGTTTACAGTGAGAAAAAGGAGAGATGTCGATTCTTCATGCACTTTGTCCTCTGTTGTTTTTCCAGATAGGGTCTCTCTGTAGTCCTGCCTGTCCTAGAACTCACGCTGTAGATCAAGCTGGCCTCAAACTCACAGAGATCCACCTGCCTCTGCCTCCCAAGTGCTGGGATTAAAGGCGTGTGCCGCTGCCACCCAGCTCACCTTCTCTTTTTTATTCCCTCTGAGATCCCAGCCCACAGAATGGTGCTGCTCACATTCAGAGTAGGTCTTCCCTCCTCAGCAAAAATTCTCTGTTTTGTTGGAGAAATGAGCTTGAATGAGACTTTTTTGATCATTAGACTTTTTATAACTCTTTAATACAATGAGGAGACAGTCCAGTTAGGTTCTACTATCCTGCCATCTCAAGACCTTGTGGTCTTCTGTCTGCCCCAGGTCTCCATTTCTGGTTTGTTCCTGGGGATATGACAACCTTTTAGTAGTCACTTTTTTCCGAGTGATATCACAACAAGGCAAAGGCATACTAATACCCTAAGGATGCTCTTCAAGAGAAGGCTATGCCTCAAATGACACTGTGTGCATACTCTATCATCATGGAAAAGGAGACATTGAATAGTGACAGAAGGAACTGTAGTCATACAAGGAGAGGCTTTGTTAACAGAAGCATTGGCATGCAGTAGATTCTATAACAGAGACTAGTAATTCATGTGCATAAGACAAATATGGCCCACAGCCTATTTTGATAAATAAAGATTTATTAGAAAACAACCAATAATCATTAAAGCTAAAATTCACATCAAGTTGTAATCTGCTTTCTGGAGAGTGAAAAGAATCCTATTTGGGTTCAGAGTGATACTAGATAAATATTATTATGGGGAGCCCACCAGAGATGATCACTCAGACACAGTTTACAGCCAATTGAAAATCTTTATTTCAGCCAGCTAGTACTACACATAGATAATCAGGACCCAAGTCTAGTGCCAAGTATTTAAGATAAGGGTTATAAAAGGCAGCTTTATTGTTTGTTTGTTTTTTAACCACAGCCTGGCATCTTGCTCGCAGGGAGAGTTTTTGTGCAAGCAAGCAGTTTAACAGAAGACAAAATAAGTGATTAGTTGGATGAGGAGGTTTGCATAAGCAGGCAGTTTAGTAGAAAATAAGTTAGCTGTGGCATCTTGACATCAGGTTCCTACAATAGAGTTGAATAATTTTCCATAGGATTCTCCACCAAGACGACCAGATCCTAGTTAAACCTGAATGGCCTCAGCAAGAATACAAGATGGAGGAAGCTCCGTACTGTCTTGCCCTGTCACAAGATGACAGGCTAAAATAAAAATCTTCCATAGATACTTTTAATAAATCTGAAGCCCAAACTACCAAATTATAGACCTGAACAATATTAAGAGATGTAAAGATCACAGTAAACCATTTTAAATTAGAATCCATGTCATCTTGAGTTTCTTAAATTATGGATACACACTACAAATGAATGGCTCCACTCTACATCAATTCCTTTCATTTTCAAGCGTTATTTATCTAACTGTCCTGAGGTCCTAGGCACACCTTCTCACACTGTCCTTTTAACCTAAACCAAAGCTTTATTCTCTCCTGCTTCTTATTTCATGTACTAAGAACACCCTGCCCCAAGAAAGGGTCCCCAGAACAGTTTAGGTAAGACCGCTAATAATTTTCCTGAACTAGAATAACAGTGGAGCCTGGAGGTTAGCATGGGCGTTGACATATGTCACGAGTATTCACCAGTAGAGAACCAGATGCCCCGTTCGCCAGAGGCCAGCAGAGATAAGGAAAGGGTGTCTTTCTGGCAAACAGAAACCTATTCCACAGGTTTCTGAGGAATGATACATGTAAACATATGCAGGCGGGGTTAAGCCCAGACTGTCATTGTGGGACATCATTGCCTTTTAGGGGGATTGGGAGTTCCCTTTCACCGGTAATGTATTATGAGACTTGACACCCAAGTTCCCTGCTTTTCACAATTGGCTTAAATAAGCAAAAAGTAAATGCTGAGTATGCATGTGCCTCTTTTAAAAATTATAACGTACATCAATATGTATTTGGGGATACACAGGATTAGGTGGAGAATGACTGATAGCTTAATGGACCCTAAGACAGTAGATGTCATTCATTACAAAATGGGTGGCCTAAGGAACAACAGAAAGGAAAGGATGTTGAAGGTGATAAATGATGGCATGTTTTTAAAATGAATGAACTGATTTACAGTATCAAACCTTTTGTCAACTGGACATCTCTATTAATTGATGATTGGCGTTGTGCCAGTGGAGTTAATTATATTAAAAGCCTCCGTACTCTAAGAACTTGTAGCATTTTCTAATCCAAAATTAAGATATGCATTAACAAAAGGTTTAATAGTGTTTTATGACACTTATTCCAAATGGCAGAAATCCTTAGTCACATGAACGTAGCCTATTAATCAGAGTATTGGGTTGGCAGAAACATCCTGTCCCCAGCCACCTTGCTTACCTTCCACACCCTGTTGGAATAACCATCCACAGAGAAAAGAGGTCCAGTTCCAGTGTCAGCCGTCAGCCTGTCTTGCAAAGGGGAGTGCTCTTTGGGTGAAGGGCTGCTTGGAGCACATGAGAGTACTTTAGACTCTTACCCAGTGTGGCTTCAAAATCACTGTGATGAAGATCACCACTGTCACTGGTGTTTCTAACTCAGTAGACCTAGAGTAGGGCCTGGAGTCCTGCATCTCATCGTGAGAGACATTATTTAGAAAGTACAAGAGCTGTGTGTTCTAATGACTTTACCAACACTCTGTGTCTGCTGCTAACAGGACTCATTTGAGGCTGACTTCGTGTAGCTAATTCGTCAGAGTTCACTGAGTTTATCGTGTGGCATTTGGAACGCAAAATACCTTCTGAATCACAAATGTTGGTTCCATTCAAGGACCAATTATTGTACATATAAATAATTTCTAAAGGTCATTCTCATGACTCCAATGCACCAACTGTTAATCCCAAAGATTGGAGGAAAAAGACCACTAACCCAAGTCATCATGACCAGATTAATTAAAGAAAGCAATTAGTTAAAGGAAGACTTTCTTTATTTATATGCGCAACTCCTTGTTCTTCTCAGGTGAGAGAAAGAAGTATCTATGGTAATGTAGTATTTATATGACTTTTAAACACAACACACGAGCTTTCTCATGTATAACCATGACAGCAAGTAAGTGTGTCAGTTGCCTCTGTAATAGCTGGCATTGTTCCGTACGTGGAGCTCCCAATGAAACTTTTGACTTCTTGCCACTTAACTATTTACTCTGCAGGTTTATATGTAAAATTACCCTGTTTGTGTCGGTGTCCCAGGAGTCCCAGTTTGTTGTCTATGCTTTCTGCTGCAAAGTACAAGACAGGTTCATCCTCTACCAACAGCCAGCATTGCAATAGACTATAGGTGGCATTATGGTTTTCAATCCATTGTGAACTGACTTTTCTACAGGGATTATAGAGTTTGTATTAATTGCTTCTCATGACCAAAAACAACATGTAGATTGTTTATTTTGATTATGGTTGCAGAAGGCTAGGAGCCATAATAGCAGGAGAAACATGGCCTGTCGGTAGGAGCAGGAAGCTGCTGATCAAATTTTATTTGCATAAAAGAAGCTGAGAGAGCAAGTAAGAAGTGAAATGAGTCTATAAGCCATCAAATCCCGCCTTCAGGGATGTATTTTGTCCAGCAAGACTCCACCTCCTGAAGGTTTCATAACCTTCCCAAACAGCACCACTAGTGAGGGATTCAGTGTTCAAATGCATAAGCCTGCAGGGGATATTTCTCATTGAAATCATAGCTACAAATTTACTTTCATTCTTCTACATGTGGAAAACGAGTTTTTTCCCCCCAGCACCACTTGTTAAAGAGGCTGCCTTTTTTCCAGTGTGTTTTTTGACACCTTTGTAAAAATGTAGGTGCCAAAAACTGCATGAGTTTATTCCTGAGTTTTCTCTTCTGGACCAGTGGTGTGTCTGTCTGTCTGTTATCAGGGCTCTGTCAAGAATCTCAAGACAGTTACTATCTTGCCCCTATTTTGCAGGGAAAAGTATTCCTTATTTTAAAGGGAACAGGACAAATAATCCTCTTTTGTTGTTGTTGTTTCTCCATTTTTTTTAATAATCTCCTAATCCTCTCTGCTATAATGTTGAATTCTAGTTTCATTTCATCCTGGCTGCCCTTCTCCAGTGAACTGCCCTCAGTCATGCGAAATGGAGAAGAGGGGATTAACTCACGAGTCCCTGCAAATATGCTTCTTCAACAACAAAGTGAATGACTGACAGAAAGTCAATTAAGTCGCCTGAGGTTATTGATCATTTCTGTTGTAAAGGCAGAAAAATCAATCCATGATTTTTTCTCCCTTGGTGTATTTTCAACTAAATGCTAAGTATTAGAGTCTCCGGTCCTGCTAGTGTTTGATGGAATGTTTGCCTCTCCCTTTATATCAGTGGGGAAATGATCCAGGTGAGCAAGCGATAATTCGACTCCTGAATGTTGAGGAGTTGTTTTACCCCTGATGCTACCTTTTCTGCAGTGGTCACACCAAGGTCCAACAGGCAAGCCAGGGGGGAATAGCCAAGAATCTGTGTGTCACCAAGTTGTCTTACGCTTTATCCCTCAGCATTGCCTCCATGGTGTTTGTTTAGCTATGAGTTTCTGACTTCAGCATGACATTTAAGAAAATGCCCCTGGAAACTACAAGTCTGCACACACACACACACACACACACATACACACACAAACTTGAGTCCTGAGGCTGCTTTGATCCAAGCTCATTCCTTTAAGGTTCTGCAGTGGAGATTTATATCTAAAGACTAGAAGAAGGGTATGCCCCATCACTGTGCCTTTGAATCACCGTGCCTTTCTTCTTCCTGTACTCTCTTGGTCAGTTCTGGGGATGCCAGACAAGGTGGAAGAGATGTGTCCTGACATCCCCCAGCTGGAAGGCCTGATGAAGGAAATCAATAGCTTGGCTGAGTCAGGTGCCCGGTACATGGAGATGCCCCATGTCATTGAAGTGATCTTGCCTATGCTCTGCAACTACCTGTCTTACTGGTGGGAGCGGGGACCTGAGAACCTGCCGCCCAGCACAGGGCCCTGCTGCACCAAGGTCACATCTGAACACCTCAGCCTCATCCTGGGCAACATCCTGAAAATCATCAACAACAACCTGGGCATTGATGAAGCCTCCTGGATGAAGCGCATCGCAGGTACCCACACCCTTTCTCTGGGTCTTTGACCCTGCAGTTAGAGCAGCTTTTCTTTAGAACTCTTGGTAGTTCTATGACGAGTCTGAGCAAGTTCTATTCTGATTTTTAATCTCCTACCTCCCACTTGCTTAGCAGCGAACTAGGGGCTGAGGGTGTAGCAGAGTTTGTAGAGTACTTGCCTAGCATGTATGAAGCCCTGGGTTCAATCCCCAGCAGTACATACACCACCTGTGTTGGTACAGCCCTGTAATGTGAACTCAAGGGAGGCAGAGGTAAGACAATCAGAAGTTCAAGGCCAGCCTTGACTACAAGGAATTCAAGGCCAGCCTGGGCCAAGTGAGACCCTGTCTTAAACAAAACAACACAGTGAACTGAACAGACATACTTTCCTCACGCCTTTCCTCCAGCCCTACTCCCCTCCTAATCCAGGCCCCCAAAGCTTCAAGGAGCCCTTTAGACCAGCTGTTCTCCCCTGTGATGATCATTGCTTTATTTGTTTGGGGTGCTTAAGAAACCCATTAGCTCTTCTGTTCCTAATTATCTGTAATTTATCGGTAAGTATGTAAAACTCACTCCCATCCGGGCTTCGCCAAGTTCCTCAATGTCGTTCAGCATTTGCATTTCACGGTGTGCTTTCTCAGACGGGCTTGAATGTAGCTAATAATAGCAACACTTTGTTTCCTTGACTTTTTTTTTTCTCTCTCTCTTTGTATCCCTCTCTAACTCCTGGCTTGCAGTAGGCTCTTAATGAATGCTATTAGCCAATTTTCTGTTCTTGAAGCAACCAAAAGAGGAAAAGTTTTGGAAAATGAATGTACTTCCCACACTCAAGAAACCATGAATATTTAGCATCCCGTGTGTCAAACTGGAGTCTCTGAAGCTCAACACTGGGAAATCATTGTTATGGATGAAACTTCAGTTTAGATCATGGAGTCCGTTTGTCCCAGCCCCTGCCCCATACAACCTCCAGGGCCATGAACTGCCAAAGCTAGGCTACAGGGAACACAACACCACCAGAAGGTGAATAGACACATTACTAGAAGAGCAAGCGGGAAATACTCCTACCTCCTTTCTGTCTCAGAAATGAACTGAGATTAAAATTAAAACTGTTTTGATTGCTGGATAGCACAGACCATATTATATGTGGACATATAGTAAGCAGAGTATCCAGCCCCTTATTATCAATGACCCTAAAAAGGTTGTCAATCATAAGGCGATTTGGGTTCTCATCTGTAAACCTGAGGTTAGAAAAGGCTGTTCCCAAGGGTACCTGTCACTGCTCTGAGGGGCACTGATGCAACAAATCCAGATCCCGTTCAGTGTGGCTGCTTAATTCCTGGGGACCACTGCAAGTTTTAAGTAACAACCTCAAGCTCAGTTTAGTACAGCAGCCATCCTATGCCGGGAAGAGTGCTGAGAAGTCAGGATTCCTTGTCACCAAAAGGCTGCCTTCACCTTATCTGATTGAAGCTATCGCTCTTTAATAGAAAAACAAAACATATGGGGGAAATGAGGTGAAAAAGAAAGGCTCCTGGAATGTAACTGTTCTTAATTGAACTTAATTGAGCTCAAGAAATGTCAAAATGGACATTCAAAGTCCATTGCCAATGGGTCACAGTGGATTCATTTCATTTCCCTTCTCTCCTGCAATTACCCTGACTCATATTCAGACTATTCGCCTCCGCCGACTTAACTCATAACAGCATACCCAGTATCTAGCCAGTGGGCTATAAGAAAAAGAGTAGGACATGTGGGTTTCCATCGTTCTTCTCACAAAAGGCCAACATTGCAGCCCTGCTGATTTCTTGTTTAGCTTCTCTACTTTAGCAATGCCCTAGTCTTTCCCAGCCCATGTTTCCCTCCCTCCCTTGAAGCCCAAAGAAGATGCCAGTGCTGAGGACTTAGAAGTTGCCTGGGCTATTGTAATTGGAAAGCATGTGTGTACATACACACATAAGCATACCTGTATCTTTTATTTTTAACACATAAAAATTATACACATTTGTGGGGCACAGTATGACTTCTATGTGTAATGACAGGTCAGGGTAACTGACATATCTGTCACCTCAGTAGAAATCACACCCCCGATGCTTGCTCCCAGGTCAGCACAGTACTCTTCCTGTGAACAAAAGGCTTCCTTCAGGGTTATAAAATATAGCTGCCAGAACAAGACCAACATGGACAGACTGTCAGATGCTGCAAGACAGTCTGTTAGAAGAGAAGAGAGGTATGACATAGGCCATGCATACATGAGGAATTCATATGGGGTGGGGCTGGAGGAGCTGAGTAGTGTTGGGGCTGGTCTAGATGCCCAAGCTCCACTGTGAACTTTTATGAGAGGGAGATACCAAGGAAGGATTAAAGGAGAGAGCTAGACGCAGGTGACATCCTGAGTCGATGGATTCCTCAGTGTTCCCTTCCATTGTCATTAATGGTCACAACACATGGGATAAGATTAAGGTGCTTTGTTTGTAAACGCAGTGTACGCGCAGCCGATCATCAGCAAAGCCAGGCCTGACCTGCTGCGAAGCCACTTCATCCCCACCCTGGATAAGCTAAAGAAGAAGGCGGTCAAGACTGTGCAGGAGGAGGAGCAGCTGAAGACGGACGGCAAGGGGGACACCCAGGAGGCCGAGCTGCTCATCCTGGACGAGTTTGCGGTCCTCTGCAGGGACCTCTACGCCTTCTACCCCATGCTGATCCGCTACGTGGACAACAACAGGTATGTAGGAGGTCTCAGGAAGCTGCCTGCTGCTCTCTGAGGCTAGTGTAGCCAATCAAATAGCATGGAAAGATGATTTTGTTGCCGGGGAGATGAGGGAAGCCACAGCTACCACTACCAGTCTCCCCACCAAAAGTCAGAGCCTCCGTTCAGTGATTTCCTTGACCAGTGATTCTGTATGGATTGAGACAGGCATCCTCACGGGCCACTAGGAGGCTCGGGGAGCTGGTTGGATAGGATTGCTTTGACTCATTTTGGCCCTTCTGCTATTCACTCCGGTACTCATTCAGTGGATGTCCTTGATCGTGCCTTGACCAAGGTCTTGAGGGAGGGGACATACTCTTTAGCATAGGCACGTACATTCTAGGAGTAGAGAGACATAGACAATTAAAATGAAAAAGAAAAACCAGAGTAAAACCCACTGAGAGAAGTAAAAAGAATTAGGAGAGGCAGGTAGAATGGAGCGGCAGTTCCTTAACTGGTGTTACTGGGAAAGCAGCATTTGAACAAAGACCTGCAAGAAGTACAAGACTAAGAACCATAAAGGAACAGAACAAGAGGATGTGGAAGAGGGACTATGGGTGAAAATCCTTAGGAAACAGTGTGTTCTGGATGTTTGACAGCTGAAATGCTCAAATGTCATAATTAAGAAATTAATTCTTATAACACCAGAAATTTTCTGTATGAGTCATCCTTTATCCAAACCCAATATGTTCACTTGGCATATGAAATTGAATTGTGCTATAATGGATAGTTAAACAGTAATTTGAGATATATGGAGGCCTGTAGTCCTATGTGTCTGTAAAGAATGTGGAGGACAGAACTGTGGGAGAAAGAAAGCAGAGACAGGCAGACGCCATGCTTCTCCTACCCAAGATGGAAGGTGGTTAGAATCTTCCAGGGCGGGGGGGGGGGGGGGGGGGGGGGATGTGAGGTATTTGTAGAAGAAGCACAGCTCAGTTCAGGGAAACTTGGAACGTAGTAGCGAAGACCCTTACTGTATTAATTACCATTCTCCAGGCTATGACCAGATAACTAAGGGGAAGCAACTGGTTTTCCCTTTTCTCTCCTTATTTATTAAGTCTGGGACCCCAATCCAGGAGATGGTGCCTCCTACCTTCAGGGTGGGTCTTCTCCTTTCATATAATCCTCTCTAGAAATGCCTTCATAGACACACTCAAATTTGGGTCTCACTAATACCATAGACATTTCTTTTTTTAATATTTTAACCTTTATTTTCATTTATTTATTTTATTTGGGAGTTCATTTGAGACAGGGTTTCTCTGTGTAGCTGTCCTGGAACTCACTCTGTAGATTAGGTTGGCCTTAAACTCATAGACCCATCTGCCTTAGCTTCCAGAATGCTGAGGTTAAAAGCATGTGCCACCACTGCCCGACTTTAACCTTTATTTTTATTTTATGTGAATAGGTATTCTGCCTACATATGTGTCTATACATCATGTGTGTGTTGTATACCTGGGACTGGAGTTACTGACAGTTACGAACTGTCATGTAGGTCCTGAGAATTGAACTCGGCTCCTCTGGAAGAGTCTCTTAACCCCTGAGACATCTCTCCAGCTTCCTCCCTAGGTACTTCTTAACTCAGTCAAGTTAATCACCAAAATTAACTGTCACAATCCACCCTTTGTCAATTTGACACACAAATGTGTCCTTTTTTAATTATGTGATGCTATTTTTTTCTTTTTTCTTTGATTTTTATTGAGCTCTACTATTTTCTTTGCTCCCCTTTAAACTGCACAAATCCACCCCTCATCAATTTGACATACAAATGTGTCCTTTAAACTGTAACATTTGACCTTTGCTTCTTTCCTCCCTACAACCAAATACACAGCGTTTTTTCACACTGGTCCTACACTTCATTATCAACAGGGTACCCAACAGTGTACACTATTTCTGACTCTCCCTAGAGTTAGCATAGTCCCATAAGAATGCCCCAACTCCAAGCACCAGCATCTATGGGGTATCCATGGATTGGGGATGTAGTTTAGTAGTAGAGTGTTTGTATAGGATTTTAAAAAGGAAATCACTAACAAATATAGCAACTATTAGCTGACAACTGAAGTTATGTGTATTGCACCCATACAAGATTGGACATTTCAGCAATCTATCAAGGAACAGAAAGTAGCTCACAGGGACCTACCTTTACTTCTGAATGATTAGATATTAATATATTCTGGGAGAGGAGGGAATCACTGTCTTTGTGTGCCCTCTGCTGAGCCCACCAGATTCCAAAGGATAACTCTAAGCCCATGGTCACTAAGAAAGCCCATGGTCACTAAGATGGCCAGTTTATTCTCAGTAGGTCATAAAACAAATAGATAATAACAGAAGAGAGAGAATTATTGGAAAGAGAGGGAATAGTAATATGATAGGGAAGTGGGGAGCAAGGATGACAGTGCACGCCTTTAATCCCAGCACTGAAAAGGCAGAGGCAGGCGGATATCTGTGAGTTCGAGGCAGCCTGGTGTTCAGGGTGAGTTCTAGGACAGCCAGGGCTACACAGTGAAACCCTGCCTCAAAATACCAAAAAAAAAAAAAAAAAAAAAAAAAAAAAGATGTTCACAGGAGGTGACCAGACTATCCCCAGTTCTGCTGTGCTATGCAGAATAGAAACCTGGATTTCTTGACTCCTTCTTCGGCATGATTCGTAGTGAATAAGATCTGGCTCTGGGTCAGAACCCACAATAAGAGTAAAGATGTTAATGGGGGAAATGAGTTTAGTACAGTTTTGACCAAAACTAAGAAGAGAAATTCTCAGTCTGCCTCTGGGCCCATGACAGTGCTCTAGTTTACAGGAAAAAAAACGAAAAGGAATGTGCATATTTGATTTTACTGTTAACTCAAGTCAACAGTAATGAAAGATGGGGCAGAGTAGAAAAACATAATCATGAAAGACAATGCCCTTTCCTAGGACAGCTGAGAGCTTGTGAGATTAGCTACTTCCGTTCTCAGTTTGGTCTTTCTGGTAGGTTTTCCAATCCTCAGGGCCCCCATAGAACTCAGTAAAGTACTTATGATTAGTGATTTGTTAGAAAGAATACAACTCAGGGGCATTTGAACAGAAATACTTGGGTTTGGGGCTGCATGGGTTCCCATGCTCTCCCCAGAGGTAGCAGCCTCTCAGCACATTTGTGTGGTCACCAGAACCTCACTCAGGAGGTTTTATTGGGGGTGGTATTTGGTTATGCTTTATTTTCTTTGTTGTGCTGGGCATTGGGCCTAGGATGGTTTGCCTGATAGGCAAGTGCTCCACCACTGACCACCAGCCTTGATCTTTAACAGTTTTATAGGTGTGTTGACTGGTTGAATCAATGGCCACTGGTGTTTGAGTTTGAAATGAATCATCTCACCTTACTCCAAGAGGTTAGGAAGAAGACTGAACATTCTGACCCTGTAATTTGATTTCACCTAGCACTAGAAAGTTCTAGTCTGTCTGGACCCAGGTGTTACCCTGAAGTTATCTGGCCCCTCAGCAATGTAGTCTCATGCCATTCACACACCTAGCTATGACCAAAAGGTTATGAGGAGCAAAAATTGCTCCTACTGCTTAGGACCTCCTTTGCCAGGAAGAGAAGAAGCTAAGTGTGTGTTTCACTATTTTAGCTGGCTTTTAAACTTGAAAGATTTATAATTGGGGATGCTAGAAAGGATGCAAAAGCAGCTGAAAGAACATAACTGATTTTTGGAGTTGCTTCTCATTCTCCAATGGCAGGAGATCTGTATTTGTTTTAGCATTTATCTTTGTAATATAAGCTGTACTTAATGTAACTTAAATGAGCATACTTCATTCAAGATTTGAAAGAAAACATCTTCTGCATACATATTGTCTCGACACATACACATACATATGTATAAACACATACGTCTACTGTGTGTATCAGGACTAGAGTAATGGATTTCCTTTCCTGGCTACAGGATGTTATACTCATTTTAACAAAGGAACTCTGCTCTTTGAGTCTCAACTTCAGTCATTTCCGTTAACGTAATTATGTTAGCAATTTCAAGAAGAAATTTGTCAGAGTTTGAGGTGAAAACAAAAATAAAAGTGGAGCAAGATTGCTCCTGGAATAGCTTTTGAATTGCGTCTGTCACCGCGGTGATCAAGACTCAAGACAGAGCACGTTCTGTTTACAGGGTGCTTGACAGTTGCTAAAAATGGCAATGTCAGAGAGTCTTTGAGATCATCATTAATTCATTCATCTCTGCTTTTCAACGAGCTCTTCCCTGAGCGTCACAGCCATGTGAGCCTGCTTAGAAATACATCCTTCTAACATGAGTGCCTGTCCCTTAAAAGACCTTCGTAGCAGTGAAAGCAGAAAGCATTGATACTATACTAAGTGTGAAGGGAAGAAAAAATAATGCAGAGTGCTGACCATGAAGGCTCATGCTTGTAATTGCAGCACTTAAGAGGCTGAGGCAAAAGGTATACTAAGACTTCTGCCTAGGCTTCAGTAAGATCCTCCAAAAAGTTAAAAAAAAAAAAAAAAAAAAAAAAAAAAAAAAAAAAAAAAAAAAAAAAAAAAAAATCCAGAATAACATACTCATTAAGTTGATTTATTTTGGAGGATATAGCTATGCATTATTATAAAAGTAATTCTTATGTGCTAAGAGACTGATGCCTTTGATGGTCCTCAAAGCTGGAGTTAATATTACACCTTAAGGTCTCTTAAGACTTAAGACTGGGTCTTGAGAAATGACTCAGTAATTAAGAGCACAGACTGCTCTTCCAGAGATCCCCAGTTCAATTCCCAGCAGCCACATGGTTGCTCATGACCATCTGTAATGGGATCTGATTCCTTCTTCTGGTGCGCATGAAGATAAGTAACTAGTACACATAAAAATAAATAAAAATTAAAAATACTTAAGACTGCTCTCCTACTGTTTTAAGATTACTGAGCCTGTTTGTTTAACCTGCCTTTAAGTGAGCAATGTAACAACCAACCTTACTTGCCTTGAATCTCCCATGCAATCTATGTTTA